TGTGTGTGTGTGTGTGTGTGTGTGTGTGTGTGTGTCTTCCTCCCTTGAGCTCAAACATATATTTTAAATCACTAATATAGTAATCAGGCCTCTGGCAGCCTATCTTGCACACACACACACACACCAACCACTTCAAATTAAAATGGGGGGAAAAATTCCACTGCTGCTGCTTACATCCTTGCTGTATCTGGGTGACTTTTTTTTTTTTTTTTAAGAAATTTTTGTCCTGGTGAAAGTGTTGGATTGACAGCCCCTGGAGGGGCCTCTGATCTCAGACTGGGACACGTGGACATGGGCCAGGAGCTGGGGGTTTTATTAGCATTTCGCTTTTGCACACCAACCGCCCCTGCTAGGCCGTCACAATCTGGCCTAGCAGAGGGCCCCCCGACCCCCAACCGACGAGTGGTCAGATCGGCCACCTCAGAAGCACTCTGGCCAGACCACGTGCTCGGGGCCCTAACAGCGGGGAAAATGGACGCGCTGTGACGTGTCTGGCCGCCCGGCAACAGGAAGGGTTAGGTCCCCAACCTTTCCCCCACCGAAGGGTCGGGGCTAGGAGACGAAAGCGGGCCAGAGGCCGCACGTGGGTCTAACTACCGCCCGGCTCCAAGCTCCGGCCCACTCCGGGGCTCCCGCCCCAGGCTGGGCCACGCAGGCCTAGGCGTCGTCGCGTCCCCAGCCGAGCCCCCGAGGCCGTCTGCGCCGCTCGCGCCCCGCAGAGGCGGAGGCGCAGCTGCCCCTCCCCGCCCGACGGCCGCGCCCGCGCCGATTGGCCGCCCTCTCGTCCAGGTGGGGCGCCCCGCCCCTCGGCGGCTCCAGGTGCGGCGGTTGGACCCGGGCCGGGGCCGGGGCCGGGGCGCCATGGCCGAGTCCCAGCTCGGCTGCCTGGACGAGGCGCACGTGAACGAGAGGGTGACCGCGGCGCAGGCAGCCTTCTACTACTGCGAGCGGCGGCGGGCCGCCCTCGAGGCGCTGCTGGGCGGCGGCGAGCAGGCCTACCGCGAGCGGGTCAAGGAGGAGCAGCTGCGGGACTTCCTCTCCAGCCAGGAGCGTCAGGCCCTCGGCGCCACCTGGAGCCCCTACGAAGTCGCCGCCGCCGCCGCCGCCGCCGCCGGCCGGGGCAAGAGCAAGGCCGAGGCCGAGACCCCGACGCAGGCCGCGGCCGAGTCCGGCGATTCCCTGGCCTACTGGCCCGACTGCTCCGACACCGAGGTGCCTCCGCTGGAGCTGGGCTGGACCGAAGCAGCCTTCTACCGCGGCGTGAGCCGCGTCACCCTCTTCACTCACCCTCCTAAGGAGGAGAAGGCGCCCCACCTGAAGCAAGTGGTCCGGCAGATGATCCAACAGGCCCAGAAGGTAGGCCACGGCCCCCCGCCCCCCACGCCTGGCCCCTTGGACCAGGCGCCACCTCCGAGGCAAGGCCTGGGCCTGGCCGCCCTTTCCACCCTCTGGAAAATGGGGCCAGAGCCCTCCCTTCCGACGTGGGGCTGGTCAGTCCTCTGGAGAGCGTGGATGTGAACGTGTTTGGCAAATTACAAGGTGTTGGGACAGTTGCTTGTCACCATTACAGTGTCCAGAGGCGCTGGCTTTCCTCTGCTCTGTGCTTCTGCTTCCCTGTCTGGTTTCTCTCCCTAGGGAAGAGTGTGGGCTGTGGAGTCCTTTGGTAAAATGGGCCACTCAAAGGTCTTGATAATAACCTATGTGCTGCTCAGGGATTTACAAAACATATCCCTGGCCATTTTCTGATTTGATCCTCAGGCAACCCCAGGAAGTGTGGTGTGGCCTCCCACCCCAAGCCACGCTGCTCTTAAGACGGTCCCCCAGAGTCAAGGCTGGCCTGGCCCCTGGCCCCTGAAATTCACTCCGGCTCTGGGCCCAGTGCTAGAGCTCACGCAGTCTAGGATGAATTAAGGGATGTATTTTGATCACCTACTACGTACCTGACTCTGTGCTGGGTGCTTTGACAAGGCAGATCCCTGGACTTAGCAGGTCAAGAAGAAGCTCCCACTTACGGCGTCTACTCTACCTGGGGATTGAAAGGAGGTGATGTTTCCAGAGTGGCTGGTATTCTAATACTGGTGGGGCCAGTGGTTCGTAGGGCAGGGGGAAGATTTACTCTGTGCCCTTGGGTAGGGGTACCTGGGTAGGACTTCCAGATAAAATATAAGATGTCCTGTTAAGTTTGAATTCCAGATAAACAACAAGAAAAAATTTAGTATTATTCAGTATGACCCAAATATTGCATTGGGACATACTGATGCTAAAAAGTCATTCACTGTTTCTGTGAAATTCAAAGTTAATGGGGACATTCTGTATTTTTATTTGCTAAGTCTGGTTCCCCTACATTGAGATTTGTTAAGAAACATCAGCAGCCTTCGGTGCCCAGTTCAAAATATACAGCAGGAGTGGCTTGGGTTCACCATTCTGATTCAACTCAGTAACTGTGGTTGGAGCCCTTTTATCCCTGGAGGCTGAACGAGCCTAGAAAGACCGGTGGTGGGCCTCCTCTTCCTGGAAGGCGCAATGCAGGTAGTTGGCTAGATTGGCTGCCAGAAGGAAGGGTTAACTTTTCCCTGTCCATGTTTCCACCCTCCCTCTCTAAAGAATTCCAGCTTGTCTACCTGAGCGTCCTTTGTATATTGCATTCTGCAAAAGAGAAAGACAAGTTTGGACAGAGGAGGAGAAAGGACTGGGTGACAATGCTGTGCAGCAGGGTGCAGCTGGGGTCAGGGGTCAGGGCTCACGCTGTGATACTCACAAGCCTTGATTTATGTATCCTTAATATGTGCCAGCCACTGTGCTAATGATTTACCTGCATTTTTTCTTTTGCTCTTCACAACTACGGAGTAAGATGGGTATTTTCCTTATGTTTGGATTCAGAACAGTTAAGCCACTTGCTGAGCCAGGGTTCAAACACCAAAGTCCTTCTCCTTAACTGCCGTGCTGTCGGTTGACTAAACCAAGGAGCTGGAATGGAACTAGCCTGGTCACAACCTGGACTGCAGGTTGTGAACCCCTGTTACAAGAAGGGGGAGACAGGGCCCTGCCCACTAGAACTTCTGGTCCCATATGGGATGCCAGGAATCTCCTGTGTAGTGGAGTGTTCTTAACTCTTTAAGTATTTAACTACAGAAACTTTAACAACTGTGAACCGATCCAATGCATACGTAATGAAACCAGTAATTATTGCCTGAGTGCGTACCGTGTGCCGGGCACTAGCCATAGGAGGATATAAGGTGGCCTTTGCCCTCCAAGAGTTAATTCAAATGCTGGGGGATGTGCTGGAAGGAAAGCAGTTTTTGAGGCTGGATATGCCTACGCTGGGAGGGCTTTCCAAGGAATGTAAATTGCAGAGTTGAAAGGAGAGAGAGAAGGAAACTGGAATGGGCAGTTTCTCCTTAAGAGACTCAGGAGAGAGAGATTTTCGATGTACTTTGCTTAAAGTACTGGCGGAAAAGTGCCTTCAGGGACCCAGAAGGGAGTCCGTGGCCTCTCCCACGCTGGCAGAGAGGGACCAGGGGAGGTTGCTGCCGCCTGGGCTGCTGTGACCACTGTAACTGCAGGGCGGGGGCAGGGGGGACTGGACTTAAATCAAGACCCTGTGTAGACAAGGAAACGGCTGGTTCTCATTTACAAGGGCAGAGTGAGAGGACCAAATAACTGCGATTTGGAAGAATAGTGCATTTGGTCATTGGACAAATATTTCGAGGTTTACTATGTGCTAAGCACTTCAGTAGAAAACAGACATATAAAACACACCTCTGCTCTTAAATGGCCTAATAGTCTAATAAACCATCATTTTAATACCGAATGATGGGTGCTTAACAGAGGGCGTGGCAGGAGGGGCACTGACCCAGCCCCTGAACCGGGTTAGGGAAGGACCTTTGATGCTGAGGGCCTGTCTACAAGCGTGTCTGAATGCAGCAAGAAGGGTGGAATTGCACCAAGCATCCACCCATCTTTGCGCCCCAGCTCCCTTCTGACCAGCGGCATCCATGTTTGAGTCTACTGAGTAGGTTTAGAGAGTGTTGCCTGTGCTCCAGGAGCAGAGGAAAACCTACTGGCCACCCACCTTGAAGACTGACCCTTGGCCCCTGCATTCCTGAGCCCCACACTCGAGGATACCAACTACCCAGCTCCTCACTGCTTACCACAGTGCCTCCCCCAGCATTTCCTTTGGGCCTCAAAAACCGTGTCAGGCAGAGGGGAGGCCCCTGAGGTCCAGAAGGGTCTAATGATTTGTCTTCAGACCGAGGACAAGGAGAGGACACAGCTTCCCCAGGTCCCTGGTCAGAACTACCAATGACTCCGTGTAGATATAAACACAACCCAGGAGAGGGTGGCTGCTGGGCTGGGAAGCTTTGATTACCTGGGAGCTGCTGCTCTTTATTCCCGTGGCAGTGAGAGGAACAGGCCCACCTGGTTGGTGGGGGACAGAGGGGCATGGGTAGCAGGCCCAGCCCTGCCCCATCTCTGCCTGTCAATGGTGTGTCCCTTGCCTTCAGGGTCTGGCTCAGAGGCTAGCCCTTCTTTGGCTGTTTATCAAATTTTCAATCCAAAAGTGACTTTTTGCTCTCAGACGTGGCTCCTTGTTTGTGCCACGTGTGTGCCTGGCACACAGTTCGATTTAGGAGAGCCCACTTTATCCTCGGGGACTAGCAGCTTTGGAAGAGCTAAGACTCCCTCCTACACCTGTCCATCATCTTTGTAGGGCCCCAGCGGCACGGGCAACCAATGATGTCTGTTTAATTGATTGGAAACTGCCTCCTATTGGCCACCCGCCCCTCTCCATCCGTCTAGGGAAGCAAGTGTCTGGAGAGTCCCCAGTTGAACTGCACATTACCGAGGGACCCCTTTAATCCCCATTGTTCCAAGCCACCTGGCAGCAGAGAGAAGAACGCTCTAAATTGGGAGGAGGGGGGTGCAGAGGGCTTTGGGGAAAGGCTCCAGGCAGGAGACGTGGTTGGCCAGGTTAGCAGCCTTGGTTAGAGGTCTGGGCAGGTGATGGGGGTGAACAGCCGGGTACACATGCCCAGGGGATGTGGCAAAGTCTCAGAGGCTCCAGTTCACGTCACCAGGAGGCTCAGCTTTCGGGTGGCAGCCTTTGCCACTGTCTCGCCCTGTTAGCCTCAATTGGCTCTTCCCTCATTCATATACATCCAGCAGATAGCACGCAGCACCTTCTCTGGACCAGGTGCCTGCACCAGGCACCATGCTGGGCACTGGGATATTGACATGAAGCAGATTCAAAAAGAAAAAAGAAAGAGAGAAGAAACAAAAGAAACAGTTGACATATATATATGTACTTAAATATGGCTGGTTTGTGAAATCTTGAGTCTGCCGGTACATTCGTCAGCCACCTCGCAGCCTTGTTGGAGAGCTGGTCCTGCTTCTCGCCTAATACCTTTCCCCGTTCTCCTACCGTTCCACATCAGAGGCTTTATCTAGAGCTCCTGAGCTGCCTTTGAAAAGCCTGATTCGCTGTGCAGAGCAAGAAAAGGCCTCTCAGGGCAGCCCGTGACCTGTGGGTCCAACACACTGTCTCCCTCGCCTAACTCTTCTTCCCTCCCTGAGTGACCATTCCTCATGGGCGGTTATTTCCAAGGCGTGGGGCGGTTCCAGAGTCCTTGTCCCCTTGAGGCTGGCGGATAATGATGCAGCTGCAGTTCCAGGGACTGAGCACTTCACAGTCCTTCCAGGATCTTGCCTCGGCCTGTCCCAGCATCCCTGCCAAGCCCTTGGCTCTGTGGCTATTGGATTCTGAGTCTCTGTCTTTTACGCTCAGTCACTGATCCTGGGAGCTGGGGTTTCTGGGCAATGGAGACCCAGCATCACGTCAAGGACAGAGAATAGGCTCTGAAGTTGAAAGGTCTTGATTTCTGTCCTGACCTGGCTACTTACAAACTGTGTTCCTTTGGGGTAAATCACTTCCGTCCCTGGGACTCCTGACCTGCAAAATTGGAGGGCATTACCTAGATTTCTGGATGGTTTTGAAAAATCAGGAAGAAACTGTATGAAAGCAGAGGATACCAAGAAAGTATCGTACAAACATCAGTTGTCCTGGAAAGGTGCTGCCGTCGCTCTCCCCTCGCAGAGCCAGGAGGGAAGTGTGGCTGAGCTTCCTCCCAGGACTCGATGCGGGGCTGCCTGCCAGGAGATCAGAGTTAGGACGGTCAGGGGTTGCTTCTCCTCTGCAGGTTGGAGGCCCTGTGCAGGTGCGCTTCCTGTTTTCTCCTCTGGGTGAGAGGAGCAGCTCCAGCTGCCCACCCGCCCCCCACCCCGCACTTCTCAACTGCCTTGATCTGATGTGGCCGTCTGTCAGGGCGGCTCTCATCTGCCAGGGTGGCTCTCGTCTG